ACTTTTTGTTGTTGTCAAAAACGGAACGAGAGATTCGACTTTCTCATGACTATCGTTCAATAAGCTACTAGTGAGTATATGAGATATTCTCAAATTTGAGTCAATTGAACTTAATTTTGGGTAGAAAATACATACGAGTAAGTAATTATTTTTGCCGTAGCGGTTTACTGAAAATTAGCTTATTGAACGGAACATGGGAGATGAGTGAAAAGAACTTAATTTTGGGTAATTTTTCGGTTCCGTGTATCGAAGGTACGACGTTTTTTACTAAAATAGCGCAACAGCCAAAGGTGCTACGTAGAGAGAGTTTTTGGGATAAGAGAGAAACGTATTCAAAACAAACGACCTTGGCAACCTATGCCTAGGTGGTTTCTAGCAACACTGTCATTTCAATCAAAATGTGCGTTGCTCGATTGGTTCTGGCTTTGACAGTTGGGTTGGCTTAAAATCAACCAGTCCGCTTCTTTCTTATCCTAGACCCTCTCTAGTGCTACGAAAAGCTCAAATCTGGGCTTAGTTATTTGTTTCAAAGGTGCGACCTTAGACATTCGTCCTTCCATTTCTTCACGTAAGAGCTAGGTTATTTACTCACCGATTTTATGCATTGCCATTGTGCACCAGTTTTAACATTGAGCTTACGAGATTGGGTTTGATGGTTTTGACAATAAGCTCAAACGAAACGTCGTCATCTGAAATTTAATGTTGTTACATTCAAATTTCTTGGATTTATCTTAAACTGATGTATAGCCTCAAATTGGTATGAGGTCTGAACAAGATATAGCGGCAATCCATGTTAATAATTTTCTCCAGTAAGAATGAGATCAAACGTAGAATCGATCTTACCTCCAGATCAAAAACTGACACACTTACCCATCTTGTGATCACGGTGGATCTGATCCTATTGAACCAAGTGATAACCAGATAGTAAAGACAATACTAGTTGGCGCCAGCATCAGTGGTTTAAAAATGCTTCGCGCTAATGGCATAGTTCCCCTGCCGAAGAGCATTCCACAATGGTGTCTTGGTTAGCTTTAGTTTTGTAATACTATTTGAATTATCATTTGTCAACAGGATCTTTTGAAGCCTTAAACACTTAATTCAACCAAATTAAGCAACACCGCTTAATTGATACACTTTCATTCATACAAAAGATGGGATGGGATTATTTTTTACTTGAAAATAGTACCCTGAAATGCACAAATTTTAATTGACAACGACAAAAAAAAATGGAACTCCATTTCCTGCTCATTAAATTATTGTTCCGACCCTAGCTCTTTTCTACTAAATACAGTTTCACTCAAACTATCTACTTTCTATCCTTTGTTTCAAGAATAAAGGAGCACATATGTGAGAGGCCCCGTTAAAAGTACTGAACAAAGTATCCAGTACCCTTAAACTCCCGCCACAAACCCTGCCAATCACATATGTGCTCCTGTTCTAGCTCCTAACTGATTAAAAATGCTTCTCAGGGTGGTATCACATTTCCCGGAGCTTAATTTTCCAAAATGGACCATTTACATGAAAGTATGAAATCATGTGCTTTCAAAACGGAAAAAGTTATGTCTTTATTCAAAATTTTGCTAATGGGAATATTGTCTTCTTTATTCAAATATCATATTAAAAAAACAACAATAAGCAAACAAAAAAGATAAAAACAAAAAATAAATAAAACAACGCAATCAACACTCAAAGAAGAAATTATTCCCATTTCAATATATTTTTTAAAGCTTTCTTATTTTTAAAATTCTTAAACGAAAATATTGCCGAAAACGTTAAACTGATCAATGGCCCAATCTCAAATTAAAATCCGGGAAATATGATACTACTCTTTCTACTAGCTAGCTACTATAAGTGAATGGTAAATTTTGAGGTAGCTAACTAACAAGCTAAAAGGAGCACATATGTGATAAGCCCCGTTAAATGTACTGAAAAGTCACCTCTATTACTAATTTCGATCGAAACTGATTTTCAGTTTCAATCAAAATCATCAAAAGGGTTGACTTTTCAGTACCTTTAAACTCCCACCACATTCCCTGCCAATCACATATGTGCTCCTGCCCTAGCTCCTATCAATCTAACTGATTTTTTTTCTACAAATATGGTACTATATCTAAACCCTATCACTACTACTCTGAAATGCAACGATCGAGCTCACGGTAGTGGTCCTTCGAACTCCATAAACAAAAAGATCTTCGATGATAGCATTCTGCCACATCGATTGGTTTGCTCGAAAGCACGGTCCCTAAACGAATTTTATTCACCAAAAAGTCCCTATCCGGTGTCAATGGGTTCCGAGGAATCTTCGTAGTAAAAATGGTAGCTCGAGGTATTCATTAGTACCCGGCTACAACACCTTTACTCGTCAGGAAACCTCGGAGAAGCTAAGAAATTTTAATGAAATTCGTTGGACCACCAGTGAGCTCGATCTGATAACAAAAAAGAATACCAAACTACTAGACGAAATTTGAAATTTCCATTAAACCGAGGGCCATGGCCGAAACCAAAAAAGTCAATCCTAAACATTTCCAGCTAAACATTCTCTTTACCAAATTTGGGTTGGGCCCACTGGAAATTTTTTCAAGCAGCACAGTAGGCTGCTTTGAAACTGTCAAATTTTGATCATCCTCGGTTTGCATGCCTGTATTTTCTCGCAGGGTACAGTGCTCCCAAAATCCAGCATACACAAAATTCAACTGAGTACGCTGCAGTTTGGGAGAAGTAGTTTGCGTATAAACGTTAGCAGTGTCCGCTACATACGTCACACGCTCCAAAAGTTCATGGTGTGTCTTGGCGTATGCTTCAAACACTGCTACCGTTGTCGTACATTGCTGTACCCTGGCTATTCCTGCTGTCAGAACCGAATCTACATCGGCTCTGCTGCACCTAAATTCCTCACAAAAATTTAGTTTCTTTTCTTCCACCTTATCTCCTAATTCATCATTTATTTCTAACCCTACTCTCTCACAATTATCACCTAAATCTTCCTTAACATTATCCGCGATTGAGGCATTCTGGGTAATTCCGCTCCTCTCAAATCCCTCACCAATCATTAGTTTCCTAGTAGATGCTAAAAACGGCCCCCGGATATACTCACCGACCGATGACCTTACATTGTCATACTCATCGGTTACCGGTAAGTTTTTAAGCATTTCCCAGCGATCCTGCCTTTTTGGCAGCTTCGGCTTTGAAGAAGCCGCTTTTATACGCTGGTAAATGGCCGTTAGCTTACCATCCGGGTCGGCACGCATGAAATCCGGCAAAGACACCGGTCTAACATTCCGACTGGACCGGGTCTGCCGAGCATCGCGGCCATTTTTCATCTTACTGGGAAACATTTTTTCTTGAACCGCCTTGATTGGAGAAATTGGGAGAGCTATCAAACGTACGTCCGCTTTGAATTCACCTCAGAAGCCTCTTAACGATTTTTAGCAGCAGGCTTCCTTATATAGACTTCTGGCGTGTGAAAATTTGGTTACGAGGGTGTTGCTATGGTAGCGACTATGGAAGGGATGCGCAGTGGGTGAAAATCGTGAAAATCGGAAAATTTGATCAACGTAGGCGTGCATGTTTTCTTCTTCATAGAAATGTCAACTTTTTTCACGACGCATCATACACTGATAAAAATGTAAAGGACAATGGTGTAGGATGGTTGAGGTCTTCCTTGTACAGGTCAGGTGATTTTTTACCAGGAGTGTGCTTGCTGGTGAGTACTTATTAGAATCTACAAATCAGCCGGAATTCCTAGTGGTTAAAATGTGATGAGGATTTAGTCGTTTTAATTCCGGATGTTGCTGATCAGCTGATCTGTGCAATCCTAGTTTGTGTCCGTTTACATCCTCCAGTTTATAACAATTCGAACCTAGTTTAGGAATAATAGTGTTTGCAGGAGAATACGTGTCTGTCAGCTTTGCGTTGAAAGTTTTTGCTTTATTGGAAAGGAAATAGTTTTTCTTCAATACAGTTTCCCCACCTTAAATTCGATAGGTTCTACAGTGGATCTCAAATTATAATACTTCCCGTATTTTTCGTATGCTTTTTCGAAGATTTCCTTTTGTTCATCACTTAATTCCTTTGGTTCATTATTCACATTCTCTCCAAATTCGTTCATTCTTGATTATTTGTCTCCGGAGCTAATATAGTTCCTTCCATAATTGACAAAAATAAAGCATTTTCTGTAGGTTCTCATCCTGATCTGTTTGTTTTTTTTTTTCTTTTAGGTACGTTCTGATCGCTGCACCAAAGCCCGACTCACCCGTTCGGTCGGATTATTTGTTGGACAACCAAGTAGCAAAAAGGTTGAACTGTGAGCCGCTCCGGAATGCCAAAAACAAACATGGGTTGTTTGACCACACACTTTTCGAAGTGAGAGGTGACGACTCCCAGCGTTGTGTTGAACTTTTAGACCGTGGGAATGGACCCATATAGTCGATGGACACAACTTGCCATGGCATCGACGCTATTCTCGGACGACCCAATTTGAGGTGGATGTTTCGCCGTTTTGCAGTTTCTCACACATATGCGGCCAATAGTGCTTTTTCCGGATTTCCCTCATCGTTTTGTAGTACCCAAAGTGGGTTACACTGTGCTCGTCTTCGAGGATCTGAATAGGATCAGCTTTTGGCGGCATATCAACTCAAAACGAGGATCTTTTGAAGTGCAGCTGACTTGCAGAATTGACTTTGATGTTCAAGTCCACCGTAAGTACATCTACCTCATTTACTGCTCTTGATAACGCGTGTGCTAAAATATTTAATTTCCCTTTGTGTATTCTAGAACTATATCATGCTGCTGCAGTTTAAGGGCCCATCCAACAAGTCGTGCGGAGATGCCCTCGACGCTTACTTTATTTAACTATTTCAAGGATTGCGCGTCCAGTTATAAATGAGTACCCCCTACGTAATGGCGGAATTTTCCAATGGCCAAATCTACAGCCAGGCATTAGTGTCCCGTTGCGGATTACTTCCTCTGAGTTGAAGAAACATATTTGAAAAGAATGAGATTGGGCGCCTACATTCATTAGAGATGCTGTACCAGAACTGTTTCCGCTACCACTAAACAAGCGTCAGATTCTATTAAAATCTGGATTCTTCAGGATTGGTGGAGAAGTGAGTACACTTTTTTATTTCATTAAATGATTTGTCTGCCTCTTCAGGCCCAATAAGTTTAGTTTTCAACTTATTTAGTAGGTTCGTGATTAGTGTCAGGATGGTACTGTAGTTTGGTATAAATCGCTTGTTTTAACGTTGTTGGCGAGGGATAGCTAAGAATCGGTTCTAGTTTTGAACTATCTATCGATCTCTGACAAAATATATGCTAAATAGGAAATTCGTTTATGGATTTTTTAGGACTTTTCCACACTTATGGACAAGTTTGCTCTACTCAGTCGTTCCGCTACCATTTTCAATAATTTCAAGTGTTCTTCTAACGTTTCAGAGGTGACGACTATGTCATCCAGGTAAACAAAAACCTGAGCCTCATAACCCTGAATCGGGGAATAAAAATCTAAGATATATTTTTTTTTATTTACTCCTAACATTATTAATCATTTTTTGATTTGTCGTTAAGTTGCTACTTACGGATTTTATAAAGAAATGTCTCTTTTGAAGCCAGGATAGATTGGCCGATACTCAGGACCCGGGATGCAGTTAACACGAAGGGGAATTAGAAATAATCACGCGAGGATTCTATTCGTGAACAGTGTCACTGATAGTGAATTTCATTTTCGATAAATGCAAGACGAAAAATACATTAAATAACGTCAATAGTTCAAGTGTGTTTACAATATTTACAAACATTTGTAGTATATCAACTGCACCCATTACCAGTCTGTGGGCAAGAGGTGCGATAGGGTGACCGAGCGCGCGCGTTACACGGAGTATAGTAATATATGCGAATTCAGTGGATTGATAAGAGAGCAAAAGGCATATTCAAGATTCTCTTCTCTCGTTATCCGAAGGCTAATGATAAGGAAGAGTACATTCTTGGTATTGATCGCAAGTGATCGAGTGTGATCAATATAGGTCTTATATACTAAGGAGTATCCATTGCTAGGGTTTGCGTTAACATATGCTGGCCTCCGTTGAAAGGTGAAGCCTTTCAACCGACATGAAGGTGAAATGATAAAGGATGATCTGCACCGAAAATAGTTGTCATGTAGCTTCCATTGGAAACGCAAATGATTTTCTTCCATAAACAAAATTAATGGAATTCATCTGAATTTCACATAACATTTATGCGATCACGTTAATTTTATATGATTTTTCATATGAATTTCATCGGCCGCATAATATTCATGTGATTTTGTGGTGGGATTTTTAGCTATGTGATCACATGAAAGCTATGTGAAATTCACATGGTTTTCATCCATTAGATATGTGATAAATTTTTTGAGTGTGGTCGTCTTCGTTGTTGTCGATCGCTCTCCACGTCGTTTGTTTTGATTATCCTTTTGCTCGGCAAGGGTCGTTGACCTTCGCACGGTCTGATCCTTGATCAGCTGTTTCTTCTACCAGTACTCGATCGTTGGTCGTTGCTATTGATGTCATCGTCATAGTAACTGGCTTTCGATGGTCATCACTTGGTTGGGCGCACTCGTGGTTGGGGTTGGAGTCGGCATCGATGGATCGAGGGTGCATATAGGAGAACAAAAAAATCTTCAACTTTTTGAAATTTTAATGAAAAAAAATACTTACAGGGGTTAGAGGCCCGCAGGCACTGGAAAGTTGGGACTGCAGGGTGGTATGAATTTGAATTGGATCCCGTCGCCAACGCAACGATTTACCATTGCTGCTTTATTTTGTTGCGAGTAGAATTTTTTGCGCAGCTCTGCTAACTCTCGGAGGGTTCCCTTGAAGTTTTGGGCGTTGTCACAGTGGATTATGTGTGGTTTTCCTCTCCGAGACATAAAACGGTGTATTGTCGCGATGAAGGCGGCTGTCGACAGATCGTAAACCAGCTCAATGTGGATGGCTTTTGTGACAATGCAGATGAAAATTGCCCCATAGCATTTTGTTGGTTGATATTTGCGAAGATCGATTTTCCGGTATAAAGTTGTGCATGAATCGACGAAGTATCTCAGAGATTCGAAGTAGAGAACGGAATGTAGAGCGTAGACCGAATATTTCATTCGATTCGTGAACTCTGACCGGTAACGATATCGATCGTTCTTCGAGGGATTCCACTGTCAGTTCAGGCAGGCCACTTTGGAGGACTGGAGGCCAGAAACGGGATGGTTGTTGCAGCCAGGATGGTCCCGTCCACCAGGCTGACGACTCCTCTAACTGACTTGCTTCAATTCCACGAGAGATTATGTCCGCTGGATTATCCATACCCGAAACGTGAGCCCAGACACCATTGGTTGTTAGATGTTGCACTTCCGATACTCGATTCGCAACAAAAGTTTTCCACCTTGACGGAACCGAGTTGATCCAGTGGAGTGTGATCGTTGAGTCCGACCAGAAGAATGGTTGAGAGTTCAGTGCGATGCTAGAGTTCACCTTGTGGTACAAGTGGCTCAAGAGAAGAGCCGCAGACAACTTCAACCTGGGAGGACTAACCTTTTTCTGCTTCTTCGAATCTCCGAGAGGTGCCACCTTGGATTTCGTAGTCAGCAGACGAACCGAAATGCTTTCATCATTAGAAACGGTACGAACATATAGGCAGGCACTGTAAGCACGTTCCGACGCAGCGCAAAACCCATAAAGTTCTATGTTAACGGGTGCAGTAGCAAGTGCTGCCCACCGAGGTACGGGGATTGAAGAAAGTGCATTTAGACTGCAACGAAAGGAAAGCCAATGCTGCTGTTTATTTTCGTCGAGATGATCATCCCAAGACGTTCGCAGGGAGATTGAACAAAGATTTTTGCTAGAACTATCACTGGTCCAATCAGCCCAAGCGGATCGAAAAGTTTTGCTGTATCTGATAATACAGTGCGCCTGGTGATTGTGTCCGATTGCGACCACTTGGGAACGGAATAGTGAAACAAATCTGTTTATGGTTCCCATATTAGTCCAAGGGTTTTGATAGTCGATGGTGAATCCAACGCAAGGACTACTCGTTCTTCACGTAGTTTGGGTGGTATGATCGAAAGGATGCCCGTCGAGTTGGACGCACATTTGCGTAAGCTAAGCCCGGAAGATTTCTGCAGATTTCGTAACTGTTTGCACAATTTCGCAACTGTTTGCACAGTCAGCATATCGTCCATATAAAAATCCTTCGAGAGGACTAGAGCAGCATGAGGATACAGATCAGCTCCTTGCTTAGACAGCTCCAGAAGACACCTAGCAGCCAAATATGGCGCCGAGGCAGTGCCGTAGGTGACGGTGGTAAGCTCGAAGGTTTTCAGCGGTTCTGAGGAAGAGAAACGCCAGCGAATGCGATGTAGTGGACAGTCAACAGGGTGAAGAAGAAGTTGCCGGTACATTTTTTCGCAATCGGCAACCATTCGCGCCTGATTAAGCGATACTCCGCTGTCCGTCCGACAAGAGGCATCGAACACTACCCTCAATTTAGTGGTTGTGCAATCAGCTTTCTCGACGCCATGATGAGGCAGGTAGTACGACGGAAGAGTGTTGAAAGTGACTATCTAGTGGTTCTGGGCTGCACACGTGAGCCACTTTGAGTTGGTTACGGGAATGATAAATCCCTATCTTACCGGATGCTACCCAGCCAAAAACGGTATTTTGTAAAACTGGCTTTTCAGGACCCAGCTTGATGAATCCTTCTAGGACCAGTTCTAAATCTATTGGAAGATCTATTGGTCCCGGTTCATGGAAGTTGGGATCTGCTAGTGTGATTCCAGATGGAACGTTCCAGCAGGAAGAATCAACCACGTTGACAGAAAGCTCACGGGTGATCTTCTTCAGTATGTGACAGGTTCTTCGACAGTATATTTGGTGCAATGGGACCCTATCCTAACATCAGCAGCGTGATACGATACGACGAGAGTGTTGCCAATGCCTCCAATTTCTCGACGATAAGGATAGCGACTTAACTGCAGCTTCTGAACCATATTCTCGGTGACTATGCAAAGTTTCGATGCAGGATCCAACAACGCTCTGTCCCATTGGGCATCTCCATCGAAACCGAAAACCTTGACGATTGCGGTTTGCAGCAGAACAGTAGCAGGAACGGTTTGGGTGCTTTCAACGAGAGTGGTGGAAACAAGGCTAGTTGTTTGGGCAGAGGTTGAGGGTGACTGGGATTCAATCGATTCAAAATTCAACCGAGATTGCGAAGAAGACTAATTCGAGGAATTCGTTTGGTTCGAGAATGAGGAATTCGAACCAGAAACGAAAATTATATTGGGTTTTTGTTGTAATGACAAACGATCGCTAGGAGGTTGGTGTAGCATAGTATGGTTCTTCTGGTTGCAACCCCTCCAACCGCAGGACGAACAGCCCTTCAAAAGATGAGAGGAGGACAAACAATTAATGCAAAGATTCTTTTTCTTCACTTGGTCAAATCATTGGGAAACGGCCAGCTTCTGGAACACGCCACACTTGAATGGTGAGTATGGAGACTTCGAACAGAACGAACAGAAACCAGGCGTCGAATTAGTAATGGTGTGGATTGTATTAACCTTCGTTGATTTCAACGGCTTTCTGCGAATCAGATGAGCGAAACTTCAAAGGTGCCAACGACTGGAGAACCATTAAATGTGTACGCAGGAAATCGATAAGCTCCCGATACTGTGGGACCTCAGTAGATTTGTGATGAGCTTCCCATTGCCTTGGGGTGAACGAATCAAGACGACAGCAGATCATGTGGGATAGAAGCACACTCCAACCATCCGTTTGGACGCCCAGTTTGTTGATTAGGCACAAATTGCGCTCAAAATCGTCGATAAGACGCATAAGGGACTCGCATCATTTCAATTGTGAAAAGTGAATCTATGTAAGTTTTAACAACTAACTTTTTGTTGTCAAACCGCTTCTCCAACAACTGCCACGCAACGGCGTGGTTTGCGTCGGTCAGCTCAATCGATTCAATAACCTTTCTGGCATCCTTGGTTAATGATGCAACATCTTATCTATCTGCGATAATTGAGTGTTTGAATTAATCAGATATTTGTATTTATCCCTAAATGTGATCCATTCCAAAATGG